ATTGTTGATGGAGCATGTTTTTTCGGATTTCGGTATTCCTGAGGACATTGTCTCCGATAGAGGGCCCCAGTTCATTTCTCGAGTCTGGCGAGCATTCTTCACATTAATGAATGTGACGGTGAGTCTATCTTCAGGGTACCATCCGCAAACCAATGGACAGACAGAGAGAAAAATTCAAGATATCGGTCGGTTCCTGCGAACATTCTGCCCCTCCAACCAGAACATCTGGAGCAAGTATCTCATCTGGGCAGAATACGCACAGAATTCTCTTCGACAAGCATCCACTCAGTTAACTCCATTCCAATGCATCCTTGGTTATCAGCCTCCGTTATTCCCATGGTCCGGTGAACCCTCAGAAGTTCCTGCAGTTAACAAGTGGTTTGAAGAGAGCGAACAGGTGTGGGATCAGACGCACAACCACATTCAGCAAGCTGTCAATCGGCAGCAACAGTTCGCTGATAAACGCAGCCGACCCAATCCAGAGTATCAACCTGAGCAGCTCGTCTGGCTGTCCACTCGAGATATTAGACTTCGTCAATCATGTCGAAAATTGAACCCCAAGTATATCGGACCATTTACAGTTGTCAAGCAAGTTAATCCGGTCACGTATCAGCTCCAGTTACGCCCAGAATACCGCATCCATCCCACATTTCATGTTTCCCTCCTGAAGCCCTATCATCCACCGGTACCCCAGTCAGTCACAGAGGATGAGCCAGAGGACAATCCCCCTATACCACCCATCAAACCAGAGTCCATCTATCTAATTAAAGAGATCTTGGACTCTCGACGTCGAAGGGGTTAACTCGAGTACCTCATTGACTGGGAAGGATATGGGCCAGGGGAGAGAATTTGGGTACCTCGGAATGATCTTGATCCCAGTCTGCTCCTAGAATTCCATGCTCAACATCCCGAGAAACCTGCACCACGATCCAGAGGCAGACCCCCACGACGTCGAGGTCCAAGGTTCCGCTGGCACGGACTCTGGAGGGGGGTAATGTCAGGAGCTAATCAGAGTCCTCCCAAGTCACCACGCAACAATTACTGTCCCCAGATTACTAATCACCTGCACCTGTTCCCATTCAGCACGCCTTTCCCAGCCAGCACAAAAGCACCCAGTTCACGTTCACTCCTTGTCAAGCCTCCAACAGGAAAAGACCCTATCCAGTCTCCACTTGCTTCTCCCCGAGTCATCCTACGAGCTGAAAAGTAATGTATACTCACCTGAAAAGACTAACCTCTCTGTCTGCGTTCTGATGTTCCCAGGATCTGCTCCATGATTCTCGTTCTCTGTGTCCTGGAATCTGCCCCGAGTCTCGTTCACCTAATGGATGCTCTGTAAAGAGAAAAGGCAAGAATCACTGAACTGTGTTAGTTCCCTATTTACTGCACTAAAAAAGGAACTACTCACCTGGAATCCTTCCTGCACCCCGTCTGCTCGAAGAAGAGCTGAAAGAGAGAAAAGGAAAGTAATTGTCCTGTCTCATTGTTTATGTTATTCCTAAAGATGATTTACTCACCTGGATTACTTCCTGCAACGTATCCTCCCCGAAGATCACCTCTAAACACCTGAAATCCTGAATACTTACCTTTGTTTAAAAATAAAGAAACGTTTATGTTCATCACTTACCTCTGTTTCCGAGTCTGAATCCTGACAGCCCTTAGCGCGAGTCTGCGAGGGTGCATTGAGAGTTATTTTTGGGACAGACTCGATCGTCACGCCGGAAACAGGAACCCGTTCCTCACGCCTGTGAAAGCCTTATCCCTCTCCATACGGAGCTGAATAAACTTAAAGATCATCTCAACAGTCCCTTTATTAGAAATATATAATAATTATTTTTTAATTATATAAACCAATATCATTAAAAAATTCCAGTCTTTAGCATCGAAAACAGGATTTATTTTATTTTCCCAAATCTTAAACCATGTGAACTAAACAGCCTGCTTTTACAGTTTTATAATTGTATATGCCACCTGGGCATTAGAATAGATGTCATGTGTCACGGTGTGTGCAGGCAGAAGGACAGGCTGAGTCCAGGTTCAAATGAAGACAATGTATATTTAATTCTGAATACAGGCAGGAAGACGGGGTACACAGAGTAACATCAAACATTGACCGACAAGGACAGAATGAAACAGAGGAAACTAAATACACTGAGGAATCAGGGTTAATGAGGTGAAGACAGGTGATACAGATGAACAGGACGCTGAACGGGAGGCTGATGAGGGAGTGAGTTCAGGTGTGCAGACGAGAGGATCATGGGAAGTGTAGTGCTGGAGACGCAGACAGGATGGTGCAGACGAAGGACTGTGACAGAACTCCCCCCTCCCGGGAGGCGTGACCTCACGCCGCATAACAGAGGAAGGAGGGGGGACCAACTGGGGGCTGGGCGGGGCGTGGCCAGGGCGGAGCAGGCTGAGGGCGTGGCCAGGGCGGAGCAGGCTGAGGGCGTGGCCAGGGCGGAGCAGGCTGAGGGCGTGGCCAGGGCGGAGCAGGCTGAGGGCGAGACCAGGGCGGAGTAGGCTGAGGGCGAGACCAGGGCGGAGTGGATGGACCCTCAGGTGTCCTTGGTGGAGACGACGGAGGGAGGAGCCATGGAGGAGGCGGGACAGACGACTCCAGGGAGCCGACTGATGGAGGCGGAGCAGGTGACTGGGGAGACCAGGGTGAAACCATAGAGCCGACGAGACAGGGCGCTGTAGGAAGGCTGGAGGGACATGGTGACACTGATGGCGCCGGCGACCGAGGCCAAGACAGGGATCCTGAAGACTGAGGCGGAGCCAGAGCGACCGAGGACCAAGGTGGAGCCGGAGGGAGAGAAGAGCCCAACAGAGCCCGAAGGATGGACTGACGAGGCAAAGCCAGAGGAGGGTAGTCCCAGGGCGAGGGCGGGTCGATGAAGGACCAAGGTGGAACCGGGGGGACGAGGAAGCCTGGAGGAGCTGGTGGGCTGAGGGGCCACGGCGGGGTTGAGGGAGGTAAGAGCCATGGTGGAGGTGATGGACCGGAAGGCTGAGGCAGAGTCCAGGTCGAGGAGGTTCGAGGAGGAGACCGGGGATCCCCTGACCCAGATGGAGTTGGTGGCCGGCAGACCCACGACGATTCTACCTCCTCGAAGCACTCCGGGGAAGCAGTGGGGCTGCCAAGCAGTGGTGGAGAGACGGTGGAAACATGATGGATAGGAGGAGGTGGGAGAGGGAGGCTGGGTGGGATCACGGTCTCGGGCTCTGGCTGGACGGTCTTGGGCTCTGGCTGGACGGTCTCGGGCTCTGGCTGGACGGTCTCGGGCTCTGGCTCTGGCTGGACGGTCTCGGGCTCTGGCTCTGGCTGGACGGTCTCGGGCTCTGGCTCTGGCTGGACGGTCTCGGGCTCTGGCTCTGGCTGGACGGTCTCGGGCTCTGGCTGGACGGTCTCGGGCTCTGGCTGGACGGTCTCGGGCTCTGGCTCTGGCTGGACGGTCTCGGGCTCTGGCTGGACGGTCTCTGGCGCTGGCGGGACGGTCTCTGGCGCTGCCGGGACGGTCTCGGGCTCTGGCTGGACGGTCTCTGGCGCTGGCTGGACGGTCTCTGGCGCTGGCTGGACGGTCTCTGGCGCTGGCTGGACGGTCTCTGGCGTTGGAGTGGGGCTGGTGCCGTCGTCCACGGTGAAAGAAGATCCACATGACACCAGCACCCACTCCACATAGGCCGCGAAGTTCCCTCGAGGCCCATCTCCGGGCAGGCGTGCCTGGGTTTCAGCGTTTAGGCCTGCCCGGAAGAACACACAGAGGCTTGTGTCATCAAAATGAACATGAGGTACCAAGTTCAAATACCTCTGTGTGTGGGCCTCGAGGGATTGATCCTCCTGCTCCAAGAGAAGGAGCTGTACGGCTGCAAATTCCATATTATTTTGGGTCGGTCAATCTGTCACGGTGTGTGCAGGCAGAAGGACAGGCTGAGTCCAGGTTCAAATGAAGACAATGTATATTTAATTCTGAATACAGGCAGGAAGACGGGGTACACAGAGTAACATCAAACATTGACCGACAAGGACAGAATGAAACAGAGGAAACTAAATACACTGAGGAATCAGGGTTAATGAGGTGAAGACAGGTGATACAGATGAACAGGACGCTGAACGGGAGGCTGATGAGGGAGTGAGTTCAGGTGTGCAGACGAGAGGATCATGGGAAGTGTAGTGCTGGAGACGCAGACAGGATGGTGCAGACGAAGGACTGTGACATCATGGTTATGTAAAGGATAAATACAGTTGTAAATAATAATAGCCTACATAATATTCAATTTTAACACAAAATAAAGAGAAGTTTAAGAAAAATTTATAGGTTTCAAAATTCATACTACGTTTATATGACTCAGTTAAGCCATGACATTCGGTTCTTTTTATGTAATGAATCATAATGCAATCGTAGATTCAAAAGCTATTATTACATTTGAGTAATAATGCGTCTTGGAAATCTGTTGAACTCACTTCTCAGGCCCACAAGGAAGAAAAGGAATAGTCGTATAAAGTCTTTTTTTTTTTTTGGTTATTCCGCACAAAAGGTATTCTCGTCGCTTGATAAACTTATACTTGAGCCACTGTAGTCACATGGAATATTTAAACATTTTCTTTAATGACTTTCTGGGCCGTCAAGTTTCAATCCCTTAGAAAGCCTATGGAGGAGTGATCCAGCTCTCAAATTTAATAAAAAATATCTAACCCTTTAAGTATACCACCTCTGCTGGTCCCTCCCAGCTCCAAAGTCTTCTGTTTCTCTGCTGATTAAGTCCAGCTCCAATTCATTTCTGCATAAGTCCAAAGCATCCAAGTCATCCCTGGTTAAGCCTAGCACCAAGTCTTCATTGCTCCCTCGGCTCCACCTGGGTCTCTAACTCTACCACCTTCACCTCTGTCAGTAAGCTGGTTCTGCTTAGTTTCCCCACCAAGGCTCCACCATGGACCTTCCACCTATCCTCAGGTGTCATCCTCCTGCTCCTCCTGTCTACGTCCTGGCTCCTCCCACCCTCATTTCTGCCCTGGTTCTTATGGTCCCTGCTGGTTTTTGGTGAAATTGCATAGGTTTTAATTTTCACATTAAAGTTGCAAAAGTTATTGCATGATTTATCCTTGTTTAATTTTTTAGATCCCCAAAAACATCATATTTTTTAATGGGTGTGTAGACTTTTTAGATTAACAGTGCTTAACAAGATCCTGGTTTTGTTTAAATATGATTTGTTTGAATCATAGTCTGAGGGAACTTCCTCTTTAGGTACAAAGATCCCTCCATATGCAACTGTAATTTTTGATGTGTTACTGGTGGACGTGTTTAACGTTAAGGATGATGTGAACGTGGAGGTTCAAAAGATTCCACAGCCATGTAAGAGAAAGGCAGTGGTGGGAGATTTCATACGTTACCATTATAATGGAACATTTCAAGATGGCACTGTCTTCGATTCAAGGTAAGTTTTTCATCTGGAAAAGAAATATTTTCACATAACAAGGAGTATTGCGCGTTTGTTTTGTTTGTTTAACGTGCAGTGTAAAGTGCTGTTGAAAAATGCTGAGCCTTTTTATTTTACAAGATTGTTGAAACTTATGTCAACTTTGTACTTCAATAGATTTTTTTTTTACATCCCTAGTTATTCTCGAAACAGCACTTACAACACATTTATTGGCATGGGTTATGTGATTGCTGGTATGGACAAAGCCCTTCAAGGGGTATGTGTGGGTGAGTGGAGACGAGTCACTGTGCCTCCTCATCTGGCCTATGGAGAAAATGGATCAGGTGACTTTTAGAAAGAAATTAGAAGAGAGGAATAAAGCACTTTACATAATGTAACATAATAATGCTAAAATGTTTAATATTGTTTAAGAATTTTAATTAATTTTGTTTATTTGGAAATGTTATAGGACGCTTTGTTGTGTTTTTGTTGGTTTATGATTTCAGTTTAGTTTCAATAAGTATTCATGGTTTAAAATTCAAAATGTACTCAATTTCTAATTGTAGTTCCCTTTCGAAGGGAACTCCACAATACGTCGAATGACGCAATGGGGAACGCCTCAGGCGTGACAGGTGTCTGAAATCAAATATCAACTCACAGTAATCAGGTTGACCGGCGACAGCCCGTGCATCATCAGCTTGAATGATGAGCGCGTCAATCTGGATGTATAAGAAGGGCGCCTTGAAACTGTGACAACATCTTTTCGTCTTCAGGGACTGCTTGTCTGTGTGATAGTATCAACGATTAAGCACGCAGAGATGTGGAGAAACACTTTGCGCGAGTGTGCCGACTTGTGTCCAGATATTTGACACCGGAGGATTCACACGATCTGTGCGTGTTCTGCCTGAGAGAAGAGCATGCGCAGGAAGAGTTTTTTGTGCGAACTGAGAGTTTTCCTTTCAGAACTCTCTGCTCTCGTCTGTCCCACTTCTCGAGGGAAGTGGGCGCGGCATCTGAACCCCACGGTTCCGGTTCCCACTTGGGCTGAGGCTCAGTGGCGGTTGAGCTCGTGGAGCTTTCAGATGGAGCTGGCAGATTATCGGGAGAGGGGCGTTAACCTCGCGGATGATCTACCAGCTGACGAGGGTGACTTACAGATTAATGTTGAACATCTAAGAAGAGAGAAAAGGAGCGCTCTCTCTCTTTGGTGAATCTGTAACTGTTCTCTTCGGGCAGGGCAGGAGTTGGCTGTAATATATATATATATATAGAAAAGGATGTCAGTTTGGTTGAGACCGGACCATGTCAGCCCTCCTGCCCAGTGTACGCTGAGCTGGTTGACATTATGGGGCGCGCCACAGACAGATTGCAGTTGCAGTGGAGGCGCGTCTGGGAGGAACCCGCTCATGGTATTTTGGATGGCTGGTTCCTCCCCACCCATAAGCCACCAGCCCGGATGAGCCTTCCATTCCTTTCCGATCTCCACTCTGGGATCGAGAGGGTATGGAAGAATCTGTTCTCCTCACGTCTCTATCTGCATCAGCGGGCTACTTTCGCTGCTGTGGAGGGAGCCGTGGAGCACGGATATGTGTCGATGCCGCCAGTGGACGAGACGTTTGATAACTATCTCGCCTCTGGTTGGTCCTCTTCACTAAGAGCTCTGACCCTGTCATCCAAGCTGCTCAAGACATCTTCATGCTTGAATGACAGAGCGTACACGGCAGCAGGTCAGGCAGGTGCGGTTCTGCACACCCTTGTGGTCCTCAAGCACTAGCCAGACCGATCTGCTGCGGGACTCCGGGCCACCAAGCAATCTGCTGTTCCGTCTGTGCTATGGTGGCCACGGAGAGACATCTGTGGGAGCTCCCACATATTGTGGTTGCCGGGTTACAGGCCTCACCAGGCCTTCCTGGTTATGAGCTCCCACTTATTGTGGTCGCCAGGTTACAGACCTCACCAGCCCTTCCTGGTTATGAGCTCCCACATGCTGTGGTTGCTGGGTTACAGGCTTCACCAGGCCTTCCTGGTACGAGCTCCCACATACTGTGGTCACCAGGATACGAGCTCTCACATACTGTGGTCGCCAGGTTAAAGGCCTCACCAGGCCTTCCTGGTTATGAGCTCCCACACATTGTGGTCGCCAGGTTACAGGCCTCACCAGGCCTTCCTGGTTATGAGCTCCCACACATTGTGGTCGCTAGGTTACAGGCCTCAAAGGGGCCTTCCTGGTTATGAGTTCCCACATACTGTGGTAGTCAGGTTATAGGCCTCACCAGGCCTTCCTGGTTATGAGCTCCCACACATTGTGGTAGTCAGTTTACAGGCCTCACCCAGCCTTCCTGAATGTGGGCTCCCACATGCTGCGGTAGCCAGACTACAGCCTCACCACCTTTCCCGAGCACTTTTGCTCCCACTCTGTGGTCACCAGGCTTCAGGCTTCATTGGCCTTCCTGGTTGTGAGTTGTCACATGTCAGGTTGCAGGCTTTACCAGGCCTTCCTGAATGTGAAACTCCCACTTATCGTGGTCGCTAAGGTGTAGTTGTGAGTCTTCACATGTCAGGCTGCAGGCCTCAGCTGCCTTCCTGAATGTTAGCTCCCCACGCATTGGGACTATCGGGTGTTAGGCCTTGTCAGGCCTTCCTGATTATGGGCTCCCACATGTTGTGGCTGCCAGGTTACAGGCCTCAAGTTCGGCCTTCCTGAATTCAGAGTACACGAACCCATACTTCACCTATTATTGTGGTAAATCACATGACGGGATGTCTTGTGTGCTTTCTAAAATCCATTTCTTATGGTAAGGGTCACGCGCGGTATGCTTCGGTCCCTTCTTATGTGGCTCAGACCCCGGTCTTTCCTCGGGTCCCACTTTAAGAGGCGTCCTGTCACTTAAATAGGCTACAGGGTCGCCCTTCTCTGGCTAACTTCTGGAAGAAGTAGCTTCCACTTGGTGGAGTAAGCTCCCACAGGTTGTGGTCACCAGGTTACAGGCCTTACCAGATCTTCCTGGTCATGAACTCCCACACACTGTGGTTGCCAGGTTACAGGCCTCAACAGGCCTTCCTGGTTATGAGCTCCCACATATTGTGGTTGCTGGGTTACAGGGCTCACCAGGCCTTCCTGAATTCAGAGTGAAGTACACAAATCCATACTTCACCTATTATTGTGGTAAGTCATACGACAATATGTCTTGTGCACCTTTTAAAATCCATTTCTCTTTTTTTTTCTTTTTTTTCTCATTGACCTTCCTGATGTTGATCCCTCTCTTACTTCCTCAGTGCTCAAAAGCGAGCACTGGGTGGAAACTCGTGGATTGAGTGTACGATTCCCGTTGTTTTGAGGTTGAGTCACACTCTCCGGAGGATCCCGTCTCTGTGATCCGAAACTCGATGGTTTCTGCCAGCTTTGCGGGCCTTCAGTTTTTGGATGCCTTTCCTAGGCAATTTCCAGAGGCTCTGTCTTGGACGGACAGGCTATGGCCAGACTGTGTGTCTTAGTACAGATCACCAGGCCAGCCTGGGGGCATTTCAGGAGGAGTATTCTCCTGAATAGTGACTGGCTGAGGGTCCCTTTGGCCACACTCCCTAGAAGGGACCCCTTCTATTTTGAAGTTGTGGTCCTAAAGCCTTTGAGCTAGCCCAGATTTACCCACGTTATTACGTTCTGGTTTTTCTTGGTTCATTAGCTTGGGGTATGACCGGGAGTGGGAGTCACTAGGGAGTGCTGTCACTGACAGCCCGATGTAACATAGGATGAGTGGTTTCAGTGTTCTTTGGAATTACTGGTTCTGACAGTTGTCACTGCCTTTTCAACATGCACTCCCCTCAGCATGGCGGAGTGGGTATTTAGTTCCCCATTGCGTCATTCGACGTATTGTTGAGTTCCCTTCGAAAGGGAACGTCTCAGGTTACGACTGTAATCTATGCTCCCTGAGAACAGGGAACAAGACAATACGTCTCGTTGCCATGCCTCGGGGCCTGCCTGCAACAGTCTCTTCAGACGATAGGATGTTGTCATGGTTTCAAGGCGCCCTTCTTATACATCCAGATTGATGCGCTCATCATTCAAGCTGATGATGCACGGGCTGTCACCGGTCAACCTGATTACTGTGAGTTGATATTTGATTTCAGACACCTATCACGCCTGAGGCGTTCCCCATTGCGTCATTCGACGTATTGTCTCGTTCCCCTGTTCTCAGGGAACATAGGTTACAGTCGTAACCTGAGACGTTTTTATATGTGGCAGTTCAAGTTTCTGTGGCCAATCTATGTAAATCAGTTTTTTTTAAATCTCCCAAGATTTAAAGTAAAGGCGTTGTACATATAAAATGCTTAAAGATATTTCTCTAACTTGTTACGTTCAATAGTTCATGGTGTCTCATATACAGTATATGTATGAGACCTTCTGATAGTATATTGTATTTTGGCATTTTATTTTAACGCATTCTCATCTTAGGGCATCATATAGTGATGAGTTTGACAATGCATATACATCAAACGCACATGGCACCCTTTAGCGTCAATATGAGAAGGGCACACTAAAGGGTGCTATGTGCATTGGATGTATGTGCATTTCAAAAGCATCAGTATATGACGCCTTGGGATGAGAACAGGCTGTTTATTTCTGTTAACATCCATTATATATATCAATATATCTATTAAATTTAAATAATTTAAAACTGAGTATACTCAGACTGAGTAGACTGATGGTAGAATACCTCAAATTCAATGTGACCAGTTCTTTCTCATCTGCTCTATTCTTACACAAAAATGTTCTCAGGTGAGCTGATCCCAGGATCTGCCGTATTAATTTTTGACCTGCACGTCATTGACTTTCACAATCCTAAAGACCAAGTGGACATCAAAGTGACCTACAAACCAGCTGACTGCAACCTAACAAGTGCTGAAAATGACCTGATTTTATACCACTACAACTGCTCTCTGCTGGATGGCACACGTCTCTATTCTTCGTAAGTGCTCTCCATTTGTAACTTGTGGTTATTTATTAATTTAACAAGGTGACTATATGGCCAAGCATGGCCTGTGGCTAGCATAACAGCTAACATGACAGCTTTTGGAATCTCTGCAAATCCCTTACCTTAACTGGTGAGTATCAGCTCGGCTGTCTTTTGCTGTAGTATGTCAGTAGGAAATATCAGTTTACATTCCCAGACTTTCCTTTTGCCATTAATTGTAATCCAGAGAGGTTTTTGTATGCACAAGGAGTCTGACAACAGTCAGTATCCAGCTAACAGGGAATGTCCCCGTAACTTTCACTAAAGTTATTTAAAAGTTATGTAAATGTTAGAAAAAACGTTACTAAAATAATGTTTGTGATAGAGTCCAATGCTCTGAAGGGATAATTCTGGTCTGACAGTTTCTTTTGACAGAGCTCCGGTCAAGGAGAAGGGCACGGAGATTCCAGCAAACTTTGAATTATTGAAGTTTGAGTACAGGCATCAGTGTACAAAGAGTACAATATGTATTCGTGTGTGTAGTCTATAAAAGAAACAAGAAATAAAATAATATTAATCACGATGTACAAAGTATGAATATGTACAAATGTATACAGTAATATCCAATATGATAATAAACATTGAATTAGAATACTAAAACAAATCAGTTTAGTCAAATATAAATCGAAAAGAGCCATAAATAACTAATATAAAAGCATACAAAGGGATTAATGGGCCAAATTTACATTCTAAATGGATTCGGTGTTCTTTACTTCCCTCTAGTGGAAGCGAGCGCAACTGCACCCCATGCGCTCAACACGTGAGGGGCTCAGAGCGGGAACTAGACTCTAAGCGCGTCTAAAGACGACACAGAAGCTAAACACGATTTAACTATCGGACTAAAGGACATAATAACTGAAATGTAGCACTAAAGAATACAGCTGAAGCTGAGTGTAAAGGAAACAATCTCCAGTCTAACACGTCTTATAACCTATTAACTAACAAAATACACAAAAGTATGCATGTAAGAGA